CCACCATCATGACCCCAGTCCTGCCTTTCACTTTGGGCTAGACCAGAGCATGTACACAGATACAGATAAGAGATCACAACACATGGAATCCAGGTCAGATAAATCCCTCAGGAACTGAAGTGGGGGTAGCGATATCAGAAAGATAGGAGGAAGGTAGGGAGGAGAGGGGAGGAAGGGAGAACCAATCACAATGATGTACATAACCACCACCACCACCCCCAGGGAGACAAACAGCAGAAACCTTGGGGGAAGGGAGACAGCAGTCAGTGTAAGATATGAAGACAATAATAACTTATAATTTATCAAGCAGTCACAAGTGGGGAGGAAAAAAAAGAGAAGGGCTCAAATAGAAAGTAAATGTTTAGAAAATAATGATGGCAACATATGAACAAATATGCTTGATGCAATTGATGTGTGGATTGTTATAAGAGATGTAAGAGCCCCCAATAAAATGATTTAAAAAAGATAAAAAGAACATTGCATTAAAATGTGAGTGATCTTGAGTACTTAACACTTTGTAAAATTTGTACCCAAGGCTGCCTCACTTTCCTGACCTGCCCAGCCCTGGATCTTTTCAATAGGAACTGGGAAGGCCAAGTTTATGACCAAGACTTTGTGGAGTCGGCCATGGGCTTAAACTTTAGCTCTCCTGCTTCACAAGAACCTTGAACACATTCCTTTGCCCCTTTGGTCCTTTGTTTATTCTTCTGTAAAAGAAGGGTAGTATCCATTTTTTACTGCATTTATTTCTTAATGTTAGTATTTCAGAAATGCCACAAGGAGGTTCTATAAACAAACAAAAAATTTTTTAATGAATAGTTTGGGATTCTAGAAATTTGAATTCAGGGTGCTGGCTCTAGGAGAAGGCCTTCTTTGGAGCAGAGATCCAAAACCCATCTGTAGACAATGGAACAATCTCCCCACAGAGTAGCCACAGGGAAGGGACGAGTCAACCAGGGTACAGCAAAGCAGCGATGAAACACGCTATATTCCTCTGATTCTTTGAGGCTTCCTCACCCCCCACTACCATGACCCCAGTGTGGCTTCTCAATTCAGACCAGACCGGAACATGTACACAGGTATAGATAAGAGATGGAAGCTCACAACACAACAGATTCCGAGAACAGGAGTGGGAATAGTGATACCAGAAGGGTAGGGGGAAGGGGGAGAGGAAAGGAGACAGGGGTTACCGATCACAATGATCGACACATAAACTATACACCCCTCTCCAGGGGGAAGAGCAACAGAAAACATGGGGGAAGGAAGACAGCAGTCTGTTTGAGATAAGAAAATAATAACAATGTACAATCTATCAAGGCGTTATGGGGATGGGGGGAAGGGAGGAAAAAAAGAGCTGATACCAAGGACTCAATAGAAAGTAAATGTCTAGAAAAGAATGAAGGCAACATATGTACAAATTTTCCTGATGCAAGCGATGTATGGATTGTGACGAGTACACAAAAAAGTTTTATGGAGGGAGGGTGGGATGGAAAGGGAGAACTGACTACAGGGATGTACATGTAACCTTCTCCCTGGAGGACAGACAACAGAAAAGTGGGTGAAGGGAGACGTCAGACAGTGTAAGATATGACAAAATAATTTATAAATTATCAATCGTTCATAAGGGAGTGGGGATCAGGGAGGGAGGGGGGAAAATGAGGAAGTGATGCCAGGGCCTTAAGTGGAGAGCAAATGTTTTGAGAATGATGAGGGTAATGGATGTACAGATGCGCTCTACACAATGGATGTATGTATGGGTTGTGATAAGAGTTGTATGAGCCCCCAATAAAAAGATTTTTTTAAAAAAAGAAAAGAAAAAGCTGAAACTTTAAAATTGATCAAAAGGGAGATCAAATGATAAGATACTATATTTTAACCTACCGACAGCTGCCATAATTGACTTTATAATGCTCTGTCTGATCACAGGCTATTCATATACCTCAACTGTAATTGGAGGGGATTCAAATTATGGGCTTTCACTGTCATTTGTAGCTTTCTGCAAACCAGGGCAACATGTATTTTTTAGCTCAATACCTGAGTATTAGCAGATAAAAGAGATCAACACCAATTGAAAAAGATAGTCCCAATACCCTGTCGGATTCATTAGTAAATATTCTTCCTCTGGTTAGGAGATTGATTTCACTTTACCATTTTCAGCATTGATATACTGACCCAACTCCCCTGTTCCGCCCTCCTTCCTAGGTGGCCGTCATGCAAATAGAACTGACTGCCCTTCAGCCTCAACTTATTCAAACATCCGAGGAAACTGCAAAGATGATGGTGAAGATTGAAGTGGAGACGAAGGAAGCTGATGCCAAGAAACTCCTGGTGCAAGCAGATGAAAAAGAAGCCAATGCCGCCGCCGCCGTTGCTCAAGGAATCAAGGTATAAATAGCTGAGAGGCAAGAGAGAGCTAGCTGAGGCTGGGCTGGACTGCCATCTCCCTAAAGCCTCCGGACGGCAGCTCTGCACCGTGCCTGTTACCATGCCTGCCTCACCATGGGAACCGTGAGGCTCAGAAAGAGTAGGTGACTTTTCCGGTAAGTGATGCCTTTCTAGCTAGTAAGTGATGAACAAGTCTTTCTGAAACCTGTTCTCTGCAGCAAGCATTGTTGTTGGCCAGTATTTCCCATTTCACTCTGGCAAGGCCTTCAAAGGCCAACATGATCTGACCTCACCTCTTATGATTTCACGCCCTCTCCCTTCCCCTGTCTCTCCCTCCCCTCCCTTTTACTCTACTCTGCCTGTTCGTCTTCAAATAAACAAAGGCAAGCTCTCACCCTTGGCCTTGTACTAACCATTTCCTCAACCTAGAATGTCCTCTTCCAAATACTCATAGGGCTGTTTCCTTCGCCTCCATCATGTAGTTGCTCAAATGTGCCTCGTGTGATATAGGTGTGGAATAAATACTTAGCCAGATGACTGGACATTGAAGGTAAAAGGCTCCATTCAAAAGTTATTTATTTTCTTTTACCCAAAGAAGAAATTGTCCGGTGTAGAACTTAAGCTCCATTCAGATATTAGAGGAAAATCTGATTAACAGTGACTATTTGTCAAAGTGCTGGTTTCATTTCAATGTTAAAACTACTTTGAGGCTTAGGAATGACAGGTATCAACATCTGAGAATCAAGGGCATTGAAGTTCACTGCTGAAATGACCAAAATAGAATCACACCGCTAGTTAGTTAGAACCCAAGGCTCATGGTGCTTAACTAAAATATTGAGGGGGGGAAAAAAACATGTCTGGCTTCTCTATGGTCTGGGAATAAATGACAATCATTTCAAACGGACATTTCTCTAGTATGTCCCAAGAGTTGGCCTCTCCCCGATCCCCTGGCAGCAGAGATGCGTTTATTCTCAGTTCTAGTGGCACATGTGGAACCGAGAACCATAATCTAGTAGGTAATACACCATTCTGCCCCAAGATGACAGTACCAACTACTCATCAGTACCATGGTGGTATCTTTTGTATTCTTTCATTTTAAAAACACTTAAAGAGTACCAACTATATGTTGACACTTTTCTAGGCAGTAGAGAAATGGGAATGAATAAAACAACATCGCATCCATCTTTTTTTTATCATTTTCTTGGGGACTTGTACAACTCTGATCACAATCCATACATCTATCCCATCTCATCCATCTTGGAACTACATTCTTTTCCACTTAATTCGTACTACCTTTTGCTCTTTCAAGGGGGCCCTGCTGCATAATGGATTACACATTAGGCTGCTAGCCACAAGGTCAACAGTTTGAACCCGCCAGATGCTGCATGGGAGAAAGAGGAGGCTTTTTGTTCACATAAAGATGTAGACTTGGAACCTACTCTATCCTCTAGGGTCACTGTGAGTCAGGACCCACACAGGGGCGGTGAATTGTTTATTTAAAGTCAATTGTCTTAATAACAGTGGTTTTGGTAGGTTCGTTTGCCAATGTCACACAGCTAATAAGTGATTGAACGCAGATTCAAACCCCAAGCTCTCGCGTCCTAAAGCCCTTTCATGTTACCATTTATGAAGTTACAAACTGTCAGCAAGGGAACACATGCACAGTATTACACCACACAGTATTTCTTTAAATACTTATCCACCTTTAAAATTCTGGAGACATTTTTTTAAATATGAAACTTCTTGAAAACACACACAGCACAAAACCAGACATGCCGACAACTTTGGGACTGTGTTCCTGTGTAGTGGCTTCAGAGATGTTGGCGACGCGCTGCTAAAGCCCAGCCAGCCCATTTCCCACACGCAGAGTAACCGCCAGACCCAGGAAGCACATAGATTTATACTTCAGCTTTTATAGACATCCTAGGGCTCCATTGTGCTCAGCCCTGGCCTAGCCTCGGTTTCTTCATTCATAAAAGTAGGACAGTAAGGGAAGCACATGGAAAGCCTGTAGCACATGTCCCACCATAGGCAGGGCTGGTTGGTCTAAGCTAGCTAGAGATTGGCTTTGCCAAGCACTCAAGTCCACTTGGTCCAGATCAGTTGTCCTTTGCTTGGACTGATAGCCTCACCTGACTGATAAAGGCTAACCTCTCATCATTCGGAATGGCACTCTGCAGTGTCTGGGGAAACTTGCAAGAGGGAGAAGAAGGGAGGTGACTAAGGTGTAGAAGGAGATGACACAGGACTCCCCACCACACCCTCACCAAACAATAACCTGCCCCCTTGGTTTCAGTGCAGAGGGTGGAGCCGAATGTGTGCCATCCCGCCCTGGATCCTGGCGGAGGTGTGTCTGACAGAGGGGAAACCACCCAGGGAGGAGGAGAAGCTTATGATTGTCCTACAGTTTCCCGGCTTGATTCCTCAGCCCTGCAGCCCTTCAGCTCTGACTCCACAGGAGGTCTGGGAATGTTCTCTGCTCTCCGCACACCAGTCAATGAGATTACACGGAAGAGCTCCAGCCTGGTGCCTGGTGCAGAGTATAGGGGCTCACCGTGTGAATGGGATCGCACCAGGGAAATGACTGAAGAGACTGGACAAGACAGAGGCGGGTCTCCGGAAGACTTGCTTCACATGCACGAGGCTTCTTGAATTGGGTGATTGTTTGTAAGCTGGAGAATCACTCATTTCCCCATCATAAGGATGATGAATGGTGCCAGAATTACTGCAAAGCCGAATCAGGTCTCCAGAGCACGTCACGCTTTGTACCTCTCTGACAGCCCTGATGCTCTTGGCGTTTTTTGAACCCACTGGGGTGAATTTTAATTAGGGTATTTTTATCCTTAAAATAAATATTGTAGCAGTGACAACACATATGAAAGAACTTAATTTTAACACATTTATTTTTCCAAGTGTCCTTCTAGTTTCTATTCATAGCACAACTGGAATGTGTGTCATGTTTTTGTCTTGTTTTTCCTTAGAATTCTATCACAAATGTTTTCCCAGAATACCAGGTCATCATTTCGATGACTAAAGTAAGGACATCACTCATCCAGTAGCCATTCCTAAACCTACAACCCCTCCCAGTCGAGTTGATACCCACTCAAAGCCGCCCTACAGAGCAGAAGAGAGTTGCCAGGTAGGGTTTCTGTAATCTGTAGGAAAGCAGACTGCCTTTTGGTTTGCAGCTAAGCACTTAACCACTGCTTCTTAGCCATTCCCCTCGTAGGTGTTTCAGTTGCTTCGCCTTCCTCCTCATCTTCTGGGTTCCAGCAGTAAACTAGAGTTGTATGCCAGAATCCCCTTTGGAATTTTAAAACAACGAAATCCGCCCACTCCACCCAGATGAATCAGAATCTCTGGGCGCGGGGCATGGCAGGAAGCTTTCGAAGCACACCTAGGAGATTCAGATGCACAGCAGGCTTGGGAGTCACTGTTAGAGGCCATGTCACCAGTAGAGGCCTTTTTGAGTCACTTGGCAAGCAAACTTGTTGCAAGACCAAGGTGGCATCCAACCCTGCCCACTAGGAAAAGGGGCAGAGGTGCCAGGCCACTGGGAGGCATGAAGCCTGAGGAGCCACTAGTTGTCTGGCAAGTTTTAAGACAACAGGCTGCAACTATTAATGAGGCAACACCGTAATGACCTGGCGTATTAAATGCACTTGACCTCCAAAGCTGTGGCTGATGTCTTTTGTTTCCTCTGCTGTCTAACTCTTTCTGACGCTGATTTGAGGAACAGCAAAGGCTGGTTTGTGTTGTTCTTTGCACCTGGGACTTGGCCTGGTCGGTGACCTAGGGATAGGAAGGTGGCCCCGGAAGTAGGACATCCCATCTTGATGTTGGGGATCTGACATAACTCACTTTGGGGATGTCAGAGGGGCAGGTACTGTTTTAATAGGATGAAACCAAAGACATGAGTTCATAAGAAAAGCAGAAATTTTAAAGTACAAAGCGTAGATGAGGCACCAAACCCACTGCCAAGAAGTTAAGCCTGACTCACAGGGACTTTATAGGACAGAGAAGACCTGCTTTCTAGGTTTCCAAGCCTGTAAGTCTGTACGGATCTGTTTCTCACTGAGCAGCTGGTGGGTAAGAACTGCCCACCTTTCAGGTAGCAGCCCAGAGTTCGGCCACCGTGACACTCAGCTCCTTATGATCCACATAAGCAAATATGGATATGTCCACATACCTGTAAGAAGGTTGAGCCAGTTGGGTTTTGTTTGTCCATCACAGTCAACTTTTGAGATACTAAAGCTTCAAAACCTACCTGCCTTGAGTTTTCTAAGATTTCACAAAGAGTCTCTGAGCTAAAATACCTTTCTGACCCTGAGCATGGCTGTTGTCAACCTGCTCCATCTCTTGGGCCTTCTTTCTCTCCTAAAGTTGACCGAACCTTGTACATCTGGTAAGGTTTCACGTCATTCATACCTGTGTGAGCGCACCTTGGTCTGAGTGACTGATGGAATGATCACTGACAGGGGTGGGCAGGGGCTCAGGACAGGAGCCTGGCTCTGTCACTAAGCAACCGTGTTACCTTAGCTGGCCTGCTCTACCTCAGGGGACTGTGTGTGTGTGTGTGTGTGTGTGTGTGTGTGTGTGTGTGTGTGTGTGTAATTTGGTAATTGAACTACTAAATGACCTAGTGGTCCATTCTAGTTCTCAAATCCTATCGTGTTAAGCTTTTTTCAAGGAAAAAAAAGATTTATAATTCACATACTATTAATACTATACAAGCCATTCCTTTCTAGTATGTATGTGCAAAGTTGTACAAGCATCACTGCTATTAAGTTCCAGAACATTGTCATCACCCCCAGAAAGGAGCCCTCTACTCATCAGCAGTGCCCCGTCTCCTCTCACCCATCTGCTAGCCCCTGGCCACCACGAATTTGCTTTCTGCCTCTCAGGAGGGCCTTGTTCTACTGCAGTGGAAGCAAGCAGTAGGTGACCCTTTGTGTCCACCTTCTTTCCCATTGCACAGTGTGTTCAGGGTTCATCCATGTTATCACATGAATCATTCCTTTTTTACGACTAAATAATAGTCATTGTTTTCCTTTTTTGTTGAATTAGCAAACAGAGACATAATCAACTCCAACTCTTTACCCTATGATTCCTCTCTCTGTCTTTTTGCTCGGCTCCCCTCTCTGTCGAGTTCTTCATCCTCCCCCTGCCTGGGGAAGAGCACTGAGGGGGGGGGGCGTGTTTCAGCACTGGGCTGTCCACTGAAGGTCAGCAGCTTGCACCCACCAGCCCCTCTGTAGAGAAAGACAGAGCCATCTGCTTCTATTGAGAGGAAAGCTGAGCTCTGTCTGAGCCAGTTGCAGGAGTTCAAAGTAACTAAGCGGCACAGACAACCTTGCCTTGAACTCTACCCCATCCCACCCTTCACACACCCTGATTCCTCCCTACCTCCTCTCCAAGCTGAAATACCTTTCTGATCCTGAGCCCATCCTTGACCTTCTATATCTCTCCAGCCTGATTTCCCCCTTAAATGTGACCTCCCTCTCTCCCCTCCTGGGCCTTCCATCATGTGTGACTCACACCTCACCCTTAGCCTTTACTCTCTTCCTGATCCATGGGTGTGATCAATCGCCCACTGCATGTACCTCAGGAGTTTGTTAAGAAGTGGGAGCTAAACTTTTTAAGATCACACACGAGGTGAGTGCTCAGATGCCCAGGACATCAAACCACAATTCCCACAGCTGTGCCCTCCCTGCAGGGTCAGGGCAGTGCTCTTAGGCACAGACACTCACCCTTGATGTCCATGCCGTTCGCAGAACGAATGTGAGGGGGACCTAGCAGAAGCGATGCCTGCACTGGAAGCTGCGCTCTCAGCACTGGACACCCTGAACCCTGCCGACATCTCCCTGGTGAAGTCCATGCAGAATCCCCCCGGCCCTGTCAAGCTGGTTATGGAGAGCATTTGTGTCATGAAAGGACTGCGACCAGAGAGGAAGCCGGACCCTGGTGGCTCTGGTAATCCCCACCAGCACCCCACCCCCACCCCCACGAGAGGCCTCAGTGTTGGCTGCTGCCTGACAGGCCCCAAAGCAGCCCTGTGGCATTTAAGAGGACTCCAGAAAGGGGCCAGGATGCACTTGTGCACCCAGAGGTCTCTCGGGTGCTGCTTCCTCATCCTCTCTCAGCTCCATCACTTGAAAAGACACAGTGTCTGTCAGGGATGCTGAGCTGAGTCAGGCCCCTGCCTCCGTATCATCCCCAAAGGAAGGCCCTGTAGATGAAAGGACTGCCAAGACAGGATGGAGAGTGAGAAGGAGATGGAGAGGGGCCCAAACACACAGACACACAACATATACAGACTCACACATACACATCCCAGAGACGATGAAACCGTGAAAAAGACCAGGAGGGAGAGAGACCAAAAGAGACTGGAAGAAGGAGAGAGAGAGACAGAGGGAGACAAAGACTCACAGACCTGAAGTCAAGCACAGACAGACAGGAGACAGAAAAACAGGGGCAGAGAAGCAACAACAAACTTAGAGACAAAGGTGCTACAAGCAGGAGAGAATTAGGATCAGAAAAGCCCTGAGTTAGAGACAAGGAGACATGTGGACTCAGAGCAAGGGGGCAAGCAAGAAGGAAGAAAGGACCTGGGAGGAGAGCAACTGAGGCAAAACAGAGAGAGAGAGAGAGAGAGAGAGAAAGGGTAGCAGAAATGCAGAGAGAGGGAGAGAACAGAATATTTTTTAACTTGGGCCACGGAGAGAAGAGAGTCAGTTGGGGGACAGGAAAGCCCCCATTTACTATTGAGCACAGAAGCATTCAGAGGTGAATATTCATTCTACTTAAAATTGGAATTAGATGTAAGACCTTGCATAAAGACCCGTGTCCTAGAAGCTGAGCTAGGACTTGCAAAGCCAAGTGCAGTGGCATTTCCTGCCTTCTAGTTCTCCTACCTTCAGGAAAGCTCCCCTTCCTCGCTTGGGAGCCTCTGACTCCTGCTTCCTCTCGCTTAGCATTTCCTCCTGTCTGGCCAGTTCCAGGCCAAAAGCCATGCGGAGAAGATGCGCAAGGGAAGAGTCCGAGTTGGATATTGCAAAGGCCTCCTTTAGGAAAACAGCCAAGGAGCTTCAAAAAGGCTGCGTGCGGTCCAGGCCTTGCCCCTTCCAGTCTTCTTCCATAGGATGGACTGCGGCCTGAGCACAGGCATTTTTGTAAAGCTCTTGAGGTACAGCCAGGATTTGGAACTGCCGTGATGGACAAAGCAGAGCCAGGTCACGAGAGTCCATTTTTTCTTGTATTCTTGAGCATCAGCACAGGACCCAACATCTACCAGCCTTACTTTCCCATGGAAGCAGGTTGTATGTTTTATGTGGAGTCCCTGATTGATGCAAATAGCTCACAAGCTCTGCTGCTAACCAAAACATTGAAAGTCTGAGTTCCCCCAAAGGCACTTCAGAAGAAAATCCTGGTGGTCTCCTTCCAATAAGCCAACCACTGAAAACTCGATGGACCACAGTTCTACTCTGACATGCGATCAGCAAGAATCAGGGTTGGCTTAATAGCATCTGTTGGGTTGTTTTTGTTTGTTTCTTTTTAAAACATGTATATTAGTCTCGCAACCCATAGAATTTCATGAGTGCATTTACATGCAGCAAAAAAACCTTATCAAATTAGCTTTGGGTGCTTTAAATTTAAATAAAGCAGGTCATTTTCCAGAATATAAACAAAATCCTTTCACGGGAAATATTTGGCTGGTAGCTCTGCTTAAATTAAAAATACAATACATAAAAGTGTAATTTTTTGATGACTTTGGCAAGCTTTTATAATACCATGAGCCAAAGAGACGACTAACATTTTTCCCCCAACGTGGCAACAAAAGAGCCACTGTCCCAGCGTTGGGGCTCAGCTCACTCAATCAGTCATTAGTCAGCAGCAGAGTTGGTACTGAGGAAGTTAGGGGCCTGGCTTGGTTAGCTGGGCAGGCCAAGGATACACTTCTGGCCAGGTACAAGCCTGCCAACTGCACTCCTACCCTGATTCCTTCTGAGACTGCCACTCCCACTGTCCATCATAAGGAGAATGCTTAGGGTTCCATTCAACCTACCGTCCACATATGAAAAAGAATATTCTAAATATATACTCACAGACTTTAACTCCTGTTGCTCTCTCCATCCACGAAAGAGGTGCAAGGTAACATTCATTCAATAAATGGAGCTCGCAGCTTTGAGGGAGAGATAGACAATAGAGAGTAAACAAAACGTATAGGTTATGCTAAAAGCTACAAAGGGAACAAAGCATAGGCTGTTGTGTTTTTAGAGCTCCCAGGAGATTCTAGGGGCAGACAGGGTGAAGAGGTACCGGCTCGCTCGTCCTTGCTCGGACCAGTTTCTTATATCTGGCCTGTTTTCTTAAAGGATCGTCTTACAAAGTTCACCTCCCGGCAGGTGAAATTAGAAGCTGCTAGGGCATCTTAGAAAGAGTCTAGGGAGGCCTGTTTGTGAGGATGCTTTTTAAAATGAGATTGGGTGTGTGGCCAGAAGCCAACCAAAAGTCACTTAAAGCACTGCTGAAGGCCTCGTAGGTAGGAAAGCACTTGGGATCATAGAGAAAGGAGTTCAAAGAAGGTCCTTTGTGGCTCAAGTTGAGAGCCAGGGAGAGAGTAGCTGAGGACAAGGTTGGTGCTGTTGGCTGGACCTCCCAGGCCATGTTGAGGAGCTTAGTTTTCAGCAAAGGAAAACAGTTGCCTCTATAGAGTTTTAAGTCTCAACCAGAAGGTCTTCATAATCATTCCTGTTATCTTTGCTTCTTCTACCAAACAGGAAAGATGATCGAAGATTACTGGGGGGTGTCAAGAAAGATCCTTGGAGATCTGAAGTTCTTGGAGAGTCTTAAGACCTATGATAAAGACAACATTCCCCCTACGGTCATGAAGCGGATCCGGGAAAGGTTTATTGATCACCCAGACTTCCAGCCGGCTGTTATTAAAAATGTGTCATCAGCCTGTGAAGGCCTATGCAAGTGGGTGAGGGCCATGGAGGTGTATGATCGTGTGGCCAAAGTGGTGGCTCCCAAGCGGGAGAGGCTGAAGGAGGCCGAGGGGAAATTGGATGTACAGATGCAGAAATTGAACCTGAAGCGGGCAGAGCTAAAGCTGGTGGTAGACCGCTTGCAGGCCCTAAATGATGAATTTGAAGAGATGAACATCAGGAAAAATACCTTGGAGGAAAACATTGAAATCTGCTCCCAAAAGCTCATCAGGGCAGAGAAGCTTATCAGTGGTCTTGGAGGAGAGAAGGACCGATGGACAGAAGCTGCCCGGCAGTTGGGGATCCGCTATATTAACCTGACGGGGGATGTGTTGGTATCCTCGGGGACCGTGGCTTACCTGGGGGCCTTTACAGTAGATTACCGGACCAAATGCCAAAAGCAATGGTTGGAGCAGTGCAGGCAGAAGGTCATTCCTGGCTCCAGTGACTTCAGTCTCAGCAACACATTAGGGGATCCCGTGAAAATCCGTGCCTGGCAAATTGCTGGGCTGCCCATTGACTCCTTCTCCATTGACAATGGCATCATTGTGTCCAATTCCAGGCGCTGGGCCTTAATGATCGACCCTCAGGGGCAGGCCAATAAATGGATCAAGAACATGGAGAAAGCTAATAAGCTCTCAGTCATCAAGTTCTCGGATGCCAACTACGTGAGAACCCTAGAGAACGCGCTGCAATTTGGCACCCCTGTCTTACTTGAAAACATTGGCGAAGAGCTGGATGCTTTCATTGAGCCCATCTTGCTCAAATCAACATTCAAGCAGCAAGGGGTGGAATACATGAGGCTGGGTGAAAATATCATCGAGTACTCCCGGGACTTTAAGTTATACATCACAACCCGTTTGCGGAACCCACATTACCTCCCTGAAGTCGCCGTGAAGGTCTGCCTCCTCAATTTCATGATCACACCCTTGGGGCTCCAAGATCAACTCCTAGGCATCGTGGCTGCCAAGGAGAAGCCAGAACTGGAAGAGAAAAAGAACAAACTGATTGTGGAAAGTGCCCAGAACAAAAAGCAGCTCAAGGAAATTGAAGATAAGATCCTGGAGGTCCTCTCCATGTCCGAGGGCAACATCCTCGAGGATGAGACGGCCATCAAAGTCTTGTCTTCCTCCAAAATGCTGTCTGAAGAAATCTCTGAGAAACAGGAAATTGCTTCTGTCACAGAAACGCAGATTGACGAGACTCGGATGGGCTACAAGCCAGTGGCTGTCCATTCTGCCACCATCTTCTTTTGTATCTCTGACCTAGCCAACATCGAGCCTATGTACCAGTACTCCCTCACGTGGTTCATCAACTTGTACATCCAGTCCCTGGCTAACAGCGAGAAGAGCGACGAGCTGGATCTCCGCATTGAGTACATCATTGAGCATTTCACCCTGAGCATTTACAAAAATGTTTGCCGCTCTCTGTTCGAGAAGGACAAGCTGCTTTTCTCCCTTCTCCTGACCGTTGGCATCATGAAAGAGAGGAAACAAATTAATGAGGACATTTGGTACTTCCTGCTAACTGGAGGGGTTGCCCTGGATAACCCCTACCCCAACCCAGCTCCCGACTGGCTGTCTGAGAAAGCATGGTCGGAAATTGTCCGTGCATCCTCGTTATCCAAACTGAAGGGCCTAAAGGACCATTTCGCACACAGTGTTGAGGAATGGAAGTTTATCTATGACGCAGCCTTCCCCCACGAGGAGACGTTTCCAGGACAGTGGGAGTTCGCTGAAGGGCTAGAAAGGATGGTGATCCTCCGCTGCTTGCGACCAGACAAGATTATTCCAGCGGCTCGGGAGTTCATTTCCGAACAAATGGGAAAGGTATACGTTGAACCTCCTACATTTGATCTCCAGGGTTCCTATTACGATTCCAGTTGTTGTGCACCATTGATTTTCGTGTTGTCTCCAGGCGCAGACCCAATGGCAGGTAAGCAGGAACTGTGATCTAAGGATAGAACTGGGAAGCCCAGAATGGATGGGTGGATGGTGATGACAGCCTATCTCTGTATGACAGCTGGGATCTCGAACTCAAATGGCTTGGATGGCCACCCCGTGGACAAGCCAAGATGTAGTTGGGTAACTGGAGACTTTTTTTTTTTTTCCCCCGAGATAAAAAGGACAGCTGCTACTGGGTGCAGCCATTTGTGCCAAGCAGGAATGTGAGCCCAGGATGGCCAGACCTCCTGGTTTTTCCAGGGAAACCAGGAGGGCCAGATTGTCCTGCTGGCTTCCAGTTTATCTTCTCTTAAACTTTTTTCTTATGGGTCCTCTCAACCAAGGGTTTTCCTTTTCTTAAAAACCTTTTTTTTATTGTAATAATTAATACTGTGTATAGAATCAAAGAATGTCAAAAAGTATAGGACTGGGGTGATCATTTGAACAGAACGGGTAAAACAGACATTTGATTCTTCCTCTTCATTTCTCAGCTTTCCAAAATAATTCATTGGTGCCCCAGTAAACTCAAAGTGAACAAGTAGCATTTTTCTTGTCTTATACATATTGTGAGCTAAAACGTTTTTAAGACACTCGGCGTTCCAAATACAGTGGTGCTTTGCGCCACTGCAGCCATTATACTTTCTTGATGCGCGAATTATTGAACCGTTGGCCTGTGGGAGCCCTTTTGTGACCTTTTCACATAACCCCAGAAGGTTTGGATAGCTTCATTGCTTTCCAGGCACGACTTCAGGACCATCTTACACAGTTACTGCCCTGGATCTGGAAGCAGCCGTTTCTCTAAGGAGCCCTGTTTCTTTAGCCTGCAAACCACAGTCGGGGCTCAGAGTCCTCCTTGCTGTGGGCCTCGGCCTCTTGCCCACTCATTCTCTCTTTGGCTGCATTTAAACGGCTGCTTTAATTAATGGCTTGCATTTTTATCTTCAGCAATTATGATGGCCGTTTCCAAGTTTATTTAGTTTGCTCTAAATTCATATACACTATTTCTTCCATCAAAGTATGAATTTTATTATATCTATTATTCCTTTTTTAGAGATGTTAAATGAATTTCTTTCATGGTCTCTTTCAGAAACTATATGTAAGCCACAGGGTGTTAATTCTCCTGATTGTTACATGTGCTCACTATCCCTTATAGGGATGTATTTCCTCACATAGCTTGTCATTTTTTATTATGAATTAACCATCAGCAAAGTAATGTGGTTTTGGGAAAGTCTCATATATATACCATGGATTTTAGGGAAGTCCCAACAGACAAACTTTGTATAAATAAATACTCGTGCCCAAGGGGATTTACCAATCTGGTTTAATTTGATGGGAAATTGTCTTAGCTTGGGAATCCTACACTACTGGCTCCTGTCAATTCAAACTCCTCGTCTTTGTGTAGAGTAGGCTTGGTGGTGGTTTGATTTCTTACTGGGGAGTTGTGATTTTGTTGTTTATTTTTTCCACCCAGGCTCTAGGTCAGTGACAAGCTCTCATGTTGCCTTCTAATGTCAGTCGTCCATTTCTGGTCTTCTTAACATGAAAGTTCACCTTCTAAGGGCCCTAAATTTATACAAAACTCTCAGTTCCAGCTCCCCATCTCATATGGCTACAAAGTTATGTCTCTCATGGGCATTAATATTCTAACCTCTAGACTAATTAAAGTAGGGTATCATCTACGGTAAGTAATATGTAGCCATGAAACATAGTAAGGCCTTGCTATAAGTACAACTGTGGAAAGGCCTATTTGATATATTGTGAATGAACAAAGCAAATACAGTATTCTGTTTGTAGCATATTACACAAAGGGAGACTTCACAAAGTTCATGGGAAAATGGAATTGAAAGATAATGAGATATTTTTCGTCAACTTTTTGAAGGTCCCTCTTATATAAGAGTATGTATACATTTGTTTAAACACATAAAATATCTCTGGAAGGATTTATAAGCAGCTAGTAATTTTGGTTGCTTCTGGGAAAAACAACAGGATAGGAAGGGAATTAAGAAAGGCTTACTTTTTTAAAAAAATCATTTTATTGGGAGTTCTTACAGATGTTTCAACAATTTGTAATTCAATTAGATTATACCTGATTATGCAACTGCTGCCACCATCAGTTTCGAAACATTTTCATTCTTCTTGAACTCCTTGATATCAAATCCCTTTATACCTTCCCTCTCCCACCTCCCTGATCCTACTCCCTGGAGCCCTTATTGTTGTGTTATGTATGTTATAAATTATTATTATTATTATTATCCGTGTCTTACACCATCCAGTATATCCATTCACCTATAATTCTGTTGTTCACCCCCTTGAGTAGGATTATACAGCTATCATTGCTATCAGTTCCATCTTCCCCTCCATCCCCCCCCCTTCCTGTACCCTCAGGGAATCATTACTCCCATTACTGTTTCTGAAGGGTTATCTCTCTTGGTTTTCATGCATCAATCAATCTTAGTTATACACATGAGCATACTCATGTCTAACTCGGTTAATGAGGTAAGACAGGAACCATACCAGTAAGGGGAGAAATATTAAAGAATTAGAGGATAGTTGTGTGTTTCATCAGTGCTATACCACATCCTGGCCTAACATCCCTCTGTGTGTCCCTTCTGTGAGATACTGACCAATAATTTCCAGGTGGGTTTTGGGCCTCCACTCGGTCCATACGCCTTCACTTCTATTTGATTGCTTGTTTTTTTGTTTTTGTTGTTTTGTTTTTTTAACTTATGATACCTATTCCCATCAAGACCTCATGATCACACATGGTATGCCTCTTCCATGTGGGCTTTGTTGCATCCTTGCTAGATGCCTGCTTGTTTGAGAAAGGATTGGGCAATGAATGTACAAATGTGCTTTACACAATTGATGTGTGTATGGATTGTGATAAGAGTTGTATGAGCCCCTAATAAAATGATTTTTTTAAAAAGAGAAAGGATTACTTTTCATTGGCAATTTCCTATCATTCTAGTAAAATTAATTTATAAAATCCCAGCCCCTGATTCTTTAGTGGTGAGCCAACCTCTCTACTTATGAGCTCCTTCTTTGTTTTTGGCTCCTGGGAATTCCTCTTTCTTTAAAACCCAAATTTTTCTTCCAAGCTGTATAACTTTTATTAAGAATATCATATGTGTTTGGAATTGATTTATAGCTTAAGTGAACCATTTGACCTGAAATCTACAGCTTTCCCAAAAAGGTGTTTACTTATCATTAACAGAAGGCATTGCATTTCTTTCTGAATCCAGAGTTTTAATGGATCCCCTCCTTTTGTGTTGCTCTTATTAATATAGTCCTAGCTGGCCTATCCTCTCTAAAAAGTACCTTTTCTACTTGGTCTCAGGCTTACTGAAGTTTGCTGATGATATTGGAATGGGAGGTACCAAAACACAGACCATCTCCCTTGGTCAAGGCCAAGGCCCTATTGCTGCCAGAATGATTCACACAGCCATCAAAGATGGGACATGGGTAGTCTTACAGAACTGCCATTTGGCCACAAGCTGGATGCCTGCACTAGAGAAGATCTGCGAGGAAGTCATTGTTCCTGAGAACACCCACAGCGCTTTCAGGTGAGATGCTTAGCCTTAATGTGTGCTCAGCCGAGCCGAAGCCAGCCCAAAGATGAATAATGTTGATATTATGCATTATCTGCTATCTTCATAGTTTGAACAAGAGCCAGTGAGTATAAAAGGGGGCAATGGGGCAAAGGCTGGGGGATGCCTAGAGATCTGACAATTGCCTGGAGTTTTGAAAGATGACTAGGAATTTGCCGAGAAAGATATTTTAGGCAGAATATTCTAGGCAGAAGCAAAGCGTATTCTAGCAAATATTCCAGGAAGAAGTAAAGAAGTGTGTTAGGAAAGTACAAAGAAGTTCTCCTGTTTTCCTGGAGTGTACGCAGTGAGAAGTTGTTGGGGTTAGAGGTGAGAGGTGGCATGTGTAGTAAGGTCAAGTCAGTGTCAGCAAGTGTGATTTTTAATTAATATTGGCATAGAAAATCCATGCTCCACTTTTTTTCTTTATCCTACTAATTTTGGGGCCCATGGACGTTGAATCAGCATTAGAAATAGTTCATGGTTTTTGTGGACTTTGAAGCTTGACAAGGTCGGGCTTTGGTGCATGTGTAGGAGGAGAAGATAAGTCCCGCAGATTTTACACCCCTTTGAACTGGCACTTCCGCGATTCTCTTGATCTAGGTCAGCATCAGCACGCTTCAGTGTGCACTTGTGCACATGTCACAAGCTAAAAGCCACTTTCACGTTTTTCAATTGTTGGGGGGAAAATGAAAAGAAAAAGATGAATTACAACCCATGAAAATTGTATGAAACTCAGGTTTCAGTGATCACAATAATGTTGTATTGAAATTTTAAGCGAGGCTTAAAGGAGGGAGCAGGGCTCCTTCCTTTGAGTCTTGTTGGTGGCTGCTTTCATGCTATAGTGAGTAGTTGTGACAGAAACCATGGCCACACAGCGTAAGACTAGCTAACTGCGCTTCTAAAGATTTTAGCCTAAGAAATCCAAAGAGACTATTCTACTCTGTCATATAGGCTGCTATGACGTGGAATTGACAGCACGCGGCAATATAATATGGTCTTACGAACTCAAATCCACAAGCTCAAGTGCCAGGCATGTAACATAAATGAGTGAAGATGTCTGGGCGGTCACTGCAGGCAGCCAGTCCAGTGTTGGACACGACAGGGAGCAGTGGGACTGTGAGGAGCAGAATGCAGGTCCTGTCCAGAGCAGAGATGCTCAATACCACTGAACTGTTGCATAGTGACATCAAGGCCCCTTGCGCTCAGGATTTCTTGTTTTTAAAAGAGGAAGTAGAAACCGACAATTTCTAAAGAAAGTTGTAGATATCAAAAGTTGGCAACTCATCCCAAATAGGCTCTCACCTGTCTGCAAGCTGAAGTCAAACCTCAGGCCACCAATTTGTGGCCCCTTCAGTGTCACCTAGCTCATGTGCTGGGCCTGGACCTCACCAGATCGCCTACCAAGTCTCACCGTATGTTTGGCTTTTCCCTCCACAAAATTGCTCAGCCTGTGCCCTCCATCTCTAATGACGACCCACCTGTCGAAAGCCTCTCTAATGTGAAGCCAGCTAGCAAGAGGCCAAGGAGTCTATCATTTAAGTTCAATAGGAAAAGCAAATCAATAAATGTCAATGTGCCAAAATGTTGACCTCTAGGTAATAAAGTTCTACATATGATTCTTTGTTTCCTAATGCATTTATTCATCTTCCCATTTCATGTAGAAACACTTTTGTATTTTTTTCTTTTATATTTTAAAAAAGATGAATCCCCCATGTTTTTAAGGCCCATTTCAAATGCTGTTTCCTCTATGACAAACTTTTGCTATTTTGCTAAGTTGGCAAACATTTCCTGTGAAGGGTCGGAGAGTGGGCATTTTCAGTTTTGTGGGCCATGTGGTCTCTGTTGCAGCTACTCAGTTCTGCCCTTGTGTGTGAAAGCAGTATGGACCACATGCAAATAAAGGGGCCTGGACACGTTCTATAGGATAAAACAGGCAGCATGGTGCATTTCACTTGCTGTCCAGAGGTTAGCAACTTTTGTTTTTGGTGTTTGTCTGGCTCCCCACAACCCAGCCAAAGGTTTTTGTTCCGTGGACTCCCACAGCCCATTATTTGCTGTTACCTGTAGTCTTGATTACGATGCCTCACACTGTTACATTCTGTCTGCTTGTTACCCTTGCCTGACTCCCCATTTACTCCCTCATTCTTTCTCTAAATATTGCTGAGATGCCTTGTTTTAAAAAGTCCAGCAGCAGAGGTAGTGTGCTGTGATGCTCTGGGTTTTGGAGTCAGAGTGCCAAGTTCACATCTTGGCTTTAGCTGCTTTTAAGTTATGAGTTTTTGAGAAATTTGACCTAACCTCTTCTTATACCAAGACTGAATGTCTTCTCTGGCCCCTCCTACATAGGAACTTCTTACTCTTCTGAGCCTAACCAATTGAAGTGAAATCCAAAACTTGACAGATGGAGCAGTGTTCCAGACTGCCAAGTTCACCCAAGCCATCGAGCACCAGCCCTAAACTCAGTGGTCCCCAGAACATTTTTGAGCAACTGATTACAAATTCAGGAGTTCCCATTACCCCTTTAGGTGCAGTAATTTGCTAGAACAATTCATGGAACTTGGATTAATTACAATTATTGTTTCATTATAATACAAAGAATACCAAATAAGAGATGCATAGGGTGAAATCTGGTTAGAGCCTCTAAACAAAGCTTCCCTGTCCCCAAGGGACAGGCTATCCTCTCCGTGCATAGATACCAGGAAGCTCACTTGCACTCCAGTATCCAGAGCTTTTATTGGAAATATGTTAACCTGGCATGATTGATTACATCATTGCCTACATGATTAAACTCAAACCTCAGCCTCCCTCATTCCCCATAGATCAGACCTGCTGTATGGTAGTTTCCGGCATGACTAGTCCCCACACAGCATGAGTCACCATATAATTATAACCCATCAGGTGCAGTCAGAAGGCCTTCATAATTAACAAAATATCCTAATCATTAAAGAAATCCAAGAGATTTAGAGTTATCTCCCTGGAACCAAGGACAAGCACTAAATTCTTTAGGTAAAGCAATTCTTCAACCCATATCCCACCATGTTTCTCCATGTCTGTTTCCTCTATTATAAACTTACCCACCTGTTCCCCTGAGTTAAGTCTGACTCACAGACTGGAACTGCTCTGTATGGTTTTGAAGGGTAAAATTTCTAGGGCAGAGAACCACCACATTGTTTTCTTGGGTGGTAGGCTCCAAGCACCAACCTTTCAGTTAGCAGCCTAGTGCTTAACTAGTGTGCCAGTCTGGCTCCTTCCTTTTGTCAAATGGAATAATATTCCCCTCTGAGGATTAAAACAAAGGACATATATTAAAATCTTAGCACAGATTTGACATCTAGAGTGGTTGATATTAACTAAGCTATGATTTCTTGTTAGTAGTTTTTCAATGTAACTTACAGCATTGCTCTAAATAATTGGGTCTCTTGCCTTCCAGACTCTGGCTAACCAGCTACCCATCAGAGAAGTTTCCGGTCAGCATTCTCCAGAATGGGATCAAAATGACCAATGAGCCCCCCAAAGGTCTTCGAGCCAACCTTTTGCGCTCGTACCTCAATGACCCTGTCTCGGACCCTGTGTTCTTTAAGAGCTGTTCAAAGGCAGTAATGTGGCAAAAGCTCCTGTTTGGCCTTTGTTTCTTCCATGCCGTCGTTCAAGAGAGGAGAAGCTTTGGACCCCTGGGTAAGCAATGAAAGCTCACGTGAGTCATCTAGAGGAAATACACAGGCAGGTGAAGATGTGTATTTAAGTTTGTACTCAGGGTCGGTTGCCAGTTAGTATGTCCTGCATAGGTCTGTGTATGAAGAAGCAAGGCCAGAGTGCTCCTTAAAAGGTATGGATGGCAAAACTTCATCTTAACTACTTTGGACATGTTGTAAGGAGAGACCGATATCTGGAGAAGGACATCATGTTTGGTCAAGTGGATGGGGCAGCAAAAAAGAGGAAGGTCCTGGACACAATGGATTAACACAGTGGCTGCATCACTGGGCTCAGGCATAGGAACAATTGTGAGGATGGCCCAGGACCATGCAGTGTTTCGGTCTGTTGTGCATGTAGTCGCTATGGGTCAGAGCCAACCTGATGGCACCTAACAATGTAGTATTTGCACATAGTTACACTAAAAATGATTTATCTGAAATTGAATTTTAACTGTGTGTCTGGTAGGGTGTTTTGTTTGTTTGCTAAATCTGAAACCCTGAAGGGGAGGAGGAAGGGAAGGGGAGGGGGGAAAAAAAAAAAAGGAAAATGAGCGGATTCCGGGAACCCAAGAGGCAAGAGAATTTTGGGAATGATGAGGGCAACAAATGTATAGATGTGCTTTACA